GTCAAGGCTTTCGTTTCTTTACAAGACTGAAACTCTTATATTTGTTTTCAATTCCTTTGTTTAAGTTTGATTATGATTATCTCAATTTTTTTTAAAAAGGTTTGATTATGTTTAAGACTCTCTACTAGGATTGTAGTTTCACGACTATAAATAGGTCATACAAGTTTTGTTTGATAAAGCTTGTACAACCTATTCACATAATTACTTACAAAAAAGACATAAACAAATATAAATTCTGTTGGGGTCGGATTTCACCTGCTCAACATTGAAGTCTAAAGTTATGCAAGCGCAGCGCATAGACGCGGAATCACATTAACGTATAGATATTATATGATTCTCCCAATTCATTTCCAAACAAGAAGATGAAGTCTTCTTGTTTTCCTAAGTCTTCTCCGGGCCACGTATGAGGGCCTCCTGAGTCCTTTCTACTCGCAGAAATCAGGAGTGTAGAGCCAGCGAGGACACAGCGCCAGCGAGGTCACAGTGCCAGCGAGGACATAGCGCCAACGATGACACTGGCCACCAAAGACATGCCAGAGTAACGACTGAGGCCAGAAGGTTCCATGCGCTAAAGCCCAGTCCAATTACGAAGCCCACTTCGACGCAACCGACGTACAGAAAAGGGAATATGCAAAGACTTAGGAAAGTTAGCATTATCTTTTACGGAAAAACTGAGCCGACTTAGGGAGCTATATATATATCAATGTACAACCTTTGTAAAGGGGATCCGCAACTTTATTCACAAAAGCATATACATCAATAACAAACGTCTCTCTCTGCTTATCGTTTCTTTCGTAGCTTAACCTAGAAATCTCTGTTTCCTTATGAAATCCTTACAAATTTAATTGTGCTAGTATTGGCTTCCACAAATTCGAAGTTTATCTATTTTTAGGTGATCATATAATCAAATCAAACAAAAATTAAAAGTGATCATGCATTGGTAGCTCAACCGGCATAATACCTTATTATCCGAAAGCAAAACTTAGAAAAGTTTCGAGTTCAAACTTCAAACACGGGAGTAAGTTTTTTTAAAAGGTTTGATTATGTTTAAGAATCTCTACTAGGATTATAGTTTGACGACTATAAGGTCATACAAGTTTTGTTTGATAAAGCTTGTACAACATATTCACATAATTATTTACAAAAACGACATAAACAAATATAAATTTGAAGAACCAAAGGCCTCGTGTCCTAATGGTAACTTTCAAGTGGGAGAGTCCTTAGTTTGAATCTCCTTGGTCACCTAGCCGGATTTTAAATTTGGAATATTTTCAAACGCGTACTCGGATGCAAGGTCTCGTGGAATTAGTTTTTGGACCTAGAAATCTTTTGGGATCCCGACGGTTATAAAAAAAAAATCGAAGTTTATCTATTTTTTAGGTGATCATATAATCAAATCAAACAAAAATTAAAAGTGATCATGCATTGATAGCTCAACCGGCATAATACCTGATTATTGAAAAGCAAAACTTATAAAAGTTTCGAGTTCAAACTTCAAACACGGGACTAAATTTTCCTATTACGATCCATATCGAAGGCCTAGATAGGCCGAAAAAAATAGTTTGACAATAAAAAGAAGATAAAAATGTTTAGAGAACGATCAAATTTCATAGTTTTTTTCTCATCATAACTCGTGAGAATTTTTATTTAGTCGAAATATATATTATTTTTCACACGCATTTCATACTTTCTTTCATATCCATGTATCTTCAAACATAATCAAATCGAACTCACAACTCCATCCTCCTCCTTCTCCACATTCCTAATCCTCGAGTTCACAACCCTACAGTTGAGTCTTATCTCTCCTTGAGTTCCAGTCAAAGGTCTAAGATTTCCCATCCGAATCATCGCGTCAACGAATGCTCCAAAGAACACGGACCTATTGTTGCTGTATTGTTCAACTAGTGGAATAGTGTCGGCTCGTAGAGTGGAGAAGAGTTCTTGATCGGTCTGAATGAGTCCTTTACCATTACGAAGATTGGTGTAGTATTGATTGTCGAAAGCATCAGGAGTCACGGAATCAAAGTTGACAAGAACGGTGCCGTTTCCGTTTTGAGGGCACAATCGACGTAGCTCGACTAGGTAAGTTGGGTTTATACTCGGGTCTGGTCTATTGGTACCGTTGAAGTTGTATAGACGAGGTGTTACAAATTGACATTGTGCTCTTCCAAATGTGTGACCACCTAACCATTTTGGAAAACAAAGACCAAAAAGGTTTAGATATTTGTTTTATGTTTAATCAAAGATGAGTCATGTTTTCTCGTATTTACCAACTGATCATGTTATTTTTTCAATTCACATTCTAGAACGTGAGATTTGTTTAAGATGGTGATGTATTCTTTCTTTTCTCATTTATTTCAAGAAAATGGTTTTTTTGCTCCTTGCTTACTACAAATTGACTGTTTCAATATCTATATAATATTCTTTTTATATGATACCTTATTACTCGATTAGGTAATATTATCGAAATTCCATATA